CGAGCTCCCTTTTTTTTTTAGCACAGCCAAAACTTGGAGAGCAATGGGGCTCATCTCTCTCTGATTGTGCCTCCCATTGCCAGATGTTACCTCTACAGGGGAAGGCCTGAGCAGAGCACAGCTGTGGCACCTGTCCTGCTGGATGGTTAATGCATGTTATAAATGACCGTAGTCTTGTCATTAAGGAGATAGCAATTAAAGACAGATTGCAGATTGTTTGTGCATGCCCTTCTAGTTAGGATAATGGAAGCGGTTATGTAGCATGCCATTCCTAATCACTGGGCCACATCAATTACTCAGGGCAAGGTTGAAGGAATGGCGCAGCGCCAGAGGCAGGAAAATAAATAATGGAGATAAATAACAGGAGATAATCTGGAAAACATGCAGGGGATTTGATGCCAGCCACCTAGGTTGCTCCTGACATGCCATCTTTTTTTTTTCTCTCCTTTTTTTGCCATGGAGAAACAAAGCAGAAGTTTTCAAACCCAGAGCCTTCCTTGAGAAGAATGAGTGAGATTAATCTGGGATGGGGTGTGTGGACAACCTGGGGTTTGCAATTGACTTGGAATGGTTCATAGGAGAAAGAATTGGATGCAATCAACTGGAAAAGGATAGACATTTTCAATAAAGAAACCAGGAGCTGTCTTTAAAGCATATTTCCTTTATCCCAGATGAGATTTTTTTTAAAGAGCTGAACACCTTCTAAAATTCTTCAGCAAACAGACAGAAAAACTGGGAGCTTTTAAGAGCAGATTTCTCTTTAATCACAATAGTGACACCATCAGAGCTGGTATTCAGCCAGTTCTGACCGGTTCTGGTGAACTGGTAGTGGAAATTTTGAGTAGTTCGGGGAACCGGTAAGTACTACCTCTGGCAGACCCTACCCCCGTCTATTTACTGCCTCCCGAGTCCCAGCTGATTGGCTGGGTCTTCTTCAGTTGCCCTGCACAAGATAGTGGAGCTAGAAAGCAGGTTAGTGGGGTGGGGAGGGAATGGAGATTTTGCAGTATCCTTTCCCTGGAGTGGGGAGAGAATGGAGATTTTGCAGTATCCTTCCCCTGGAGTGGGGAGGGAATAGAGATTTTGCAGTATCTTTCCCCTGGAGTGGGGAGGGAATGGGGATTTTGCAGTATCCTTCCCCTGGAGTGGGGAGGGAATGGAGATTTTGCANACTGCTCAAAGTTACAACAGCATTGGGGAAAAAAGGGACTTCCACACTTTACGACCGTTGCCGCATCCCCATGATCAAAACCTGGATACTTGGCAACTGACTCATACTTACGACAATTGCAGTGTCATGATTTCCCGCTTTTGCGACCATCTGACAAACAAAGTCAGTGGGGAAGCCTGATTCGCTTAACAACCATGTGACTAATTTAACAGCCGCAGGGATTCACCACCGTGGCAAGAAAAGTCATAAAAGAGGGCCAACCTCCCTTAACCAATGTTTCACTTAGCAACATAAATGTTGGGCTAAATTGTGGTCGTAAGTTGAGGGCTACCTGTATTCTAGAATGACCCTAAAGCCTGTAGGCTTAGCTGGTCCCTGTGCAAAGGCCACTGTGAGCGTGGCATGAAAATGGACTTCTGGTACCTTCCTTTTTTTCATTTTTACTGATTTTAAAAAATCAGTATGTGTCCCACATCCTTGTCCTCTCTGGCAGGTTGGCAAAAACCCAATGAAAAATTAAAAAAAAAAAAGAATTCTAAAAGCATCCACTAATTAAAAAAATTCTAAATCTTCTAAATTAAATTAAAGCAGTAACTCGGGAGCCTTGGATAAATTTTTAACCCTCTCCTAAATCATAACACAGAATGGAGCCTGCTTTAGCTGAATTGAAATGAGTTGTGTACGGAGGGCTTTAACAGAGGCGAGAGAATTAATTCTGGTGGGTCATTTTCATTTTCGATGTTTGCCTGGCCACCCATCGAAAATGTAACTCTGGATGACTCACAATAAAACCCAATAATAGTCAAATTATCAGCCAAAAATCCAGCACTTCAGTTGTGCAACAGATGCTTGTTGAAACTGCTAAAATGTATGCCTCAGTGTGAAGATTGCACACAAGACTAAAAACTGCAGTCTCCACATTTTCCTTTGTAACCACCATGGCTTTGCCTTACCAGTACAATTGTGGCTTCTTACAGGCTCCCAGCTTAGCATGATGGGAGAGCCTATCCATTCTGTCTTTTTACCCTAAACAAGGCCACCGTTTAGAAATAACCAAACAGGCTTAACGGCATAGCAGGCTCCTTAAAAACCAGGAATTAGAAGTGGCACTCGGTTCATACCAGCGAGTTTTGGGATTGTGGCCAGAACGCCCTGCGTCTCGCTGTGACAAGTTGCCACTCTAGGAATTCCCATCTTTTATCTTCTTCCCGGCCCTGTTTCTTAACCTAGAGCTTGTAGAGCGTGCAGGGGCTCACATCTGGATGCTGGTTTGGCCTCCGCTTTGCGGCTCAGAGGAAAAACGCCGGTCCTTGCAGTCAATTCTTTTGACACGCCGCCGTGTGAAATCGATGTTTGTTGGCTGGGGAAGGCGTCCGAAATGGGGCCTTCGCCTCCACATCCGCAGGGATGACATTTTCCAACCCATCCCAGACTTCCTTTGCGTTCCGTTTGTCGCCTTTTAATCCTTCCCTCCTCCTCCCCCCTTTTTATTTCCACGTTAAAACTTTTTATTTTCTCATCTGACTTGGCTTTTTATGTGAAGATGCGGCTTTGTCTCACCAATCTTTGGGCTCATTGTTAACTCCCCTTTCCTTTCAGTCTGCTGCTTGCTGCCTTAAAAAAGGATTTGCTTCCCTCTGAAACAAGCATGCAAAGCAGGCTGGAAAAAAGGAGGTCGATTTGTCTTAGTTTTGAGTTCCAGCCATTTCAGTTTGTGCATCCATTGTGTTGATATTGCTGGCGTTTCCTCCCTTTTGTGTTGCACTCCACTGACGTTTTTTTTTTTTCGTTTTTTTTTCTTTTGGTAGAATACACAGACCATTTGTGCTTGTGTTTTTGCATTGCTTTACCTTCTCTTCATTTCAGGAAATTCCCATCGGTTGTGGGGAAAGCACACGGGCACTGGCAGAATAGATTTTAAAAGATTTCCCATCTTTCTAGTCCACAGTGTCCCTTTTTCCTAGTTTAATTATTCATATAGGTGTTTATATTTGGCCGCTTGTGACATAGAGCCCCTATATCTGTAGGGCCCGTCTATTGGGAGGGGTTGGGAGGTGGAAAAGACAATTTGAAATCCATGCCTGATTTTATTCTGCTGCAAAGACCAGTGGTTCTTTTTAACATTTGGCAAAGCTACTATATCTTTCGGAGTATAAGACGCACCGGAGTATATGATGCACCAAGATTTTGAAGAGGCACATTTTTTTAAAAAAGTTTTTGCACTCTGCAGACCTCCCAAAAATGGCCCGCTTTTC